TAAATTCATATATATGCATCTATACACATATATATATACGTATAATTGCATATATACATATATAGATATGTACATATATATACATACTGCATACAAAAAAAGTATGCACTATATGTTCTATACGTATATGTAGATACATACAATGCATACAATGCATGCAATATATACAATACATATATACAGGTATATATATACATATATATATATATATATATTTGTATATATGCACATATATATATATATATATAAGACGTATTATATATGAGGGCTTGACGCGGTGCCTCCAGGCAGGCAGAGATAAATGAATGTCCTCAGGGGCCTCCGAGGCCCCTCGGCTGGGTACGCTACAATTGCATATATATGTATATATGTATGCACATATATATATATATATATAAAGATATATATATACATATATATATATATATATATATTGTACATATACTATATAAGTAATATACATATATAACTGTAGCGCTTAAATCCTCACTACACGTGTATACTACATATATATTATATAGCATGTTTATATATTATAGATATAATATAGTATATATAATATATAATATATATTCCATATATAAAATATATATATATAAAATATATAATACATAATATCTATTACATATATATCTGTATCTGCTCCACCCTCAGGAGGATGCAGAGCTGCTGCTGCTATCTGCGTGTCTTCGTTCTTAATGACCTGTGAGCAGCAAAATCTGCTGCTGCTGCTGCTCCTTGTGCTGTTGCTGCTGCTGCTTTTGCTTCTTCTGCTGCTTTTGCTGCTGCTGCTGCTCCTTGTGCTGCTGCTGCTGCTCCTTGTGCTGCTGCTGCTGCTTCTGCTTCAGGAGCTGAGGCCTAATAGTGAGTTGAGATCGACCTCAACATCCAGGAGGTTTGCAGTGTACAGCTGCTGCAGCAGCTGAGCGCATGCAGCAAACGTTGGGCGTCTCGATGGTTCCTGCTGCAGACAGCTCCGCACGAAGCCTCTTAAAGGCCGAGGGATCTTCTCTAAGGGAGGAGTCATCCCCCCGTACCCCACAACTGTTATCAGGTGGGCCGGAGACGAGATCCCTGCAGCAGCAGCAGCAGCAGCAGCAGCACATAACACAGTCGATGAAGCGCACAATCTATTAATTTGCATGCAGCTACAGCTGCACGACATACATACAACAAAAAGAATACACTCCTCAAGTCTGAGACTGACGAGCGAACAAAGCAAAACAAGCTGCAGCAAGATCCCTGTTGCTGCAGCCTCTCTGCAGCAGCAGCAGCAGCAGCAGCAGCAGAGAGCCTATATATATATATATATATAGTGTAGCATATAAAACAAGGTGTACCTGCAAAGGGCAGACCGCCTACAAGCATCTCCCACAGAACAACGCCGAAGGAATAAACATCAGCAGCAAAAGTAAAAGGCTCTCCTCGAAGAACTGAAGACAAAACAAAAGCAGCAGCAGCAGCAACATATGCAGCAGCAGCAGCAGATGCAACAGATGCAGCAGCAGCAGAAGCAGCAGAAGCAGCAGGAGCAACACATGCAGCAGCAGCAGAAGAAGTCGGCACATACGCATGCAGGAAGACCGCCACGGAAGCAAGCAGCAGCAGCAGCAGCAATAGCAACAGCAACAGGAGCAACAACAGGCGGAAGAGAAACAGCAATTTGCAGCGACAGCAGCAGCTGCTGCTTCTGCAGGTGCTGCTTCTGCAGCTGCTGCTGCTAGTGCAGCAAACCCCAGCGAAGATACCACAGCAGCAGCAGATGCAGAGACAAGCAAAAGACAATACAAACTGCTGCTGCTGCCTATAATATAACAACGCATACGGGTGCATGCATGCAGAGGCACACATGCAAAAAAGTATTAGTGTATATATATAATATTATAATAATAATTATATATATTTATTATATTTCTCTCTATCTTATTTGCTTACTTTCCGGCGCCATCCAATGATGTGTGCCGACACACCCTAGGTGTGCTGCCTGTGGGTCATTCTGCTGCTGCTGCTGCTGCTGCTGCTGTTGCTGCTGCTGCTGTTCCTGTGCTGCAGTCCACCAATCAGGGCCTCCTGCTGCTTCTACAATTGTAGCAAGACCGAAGTCGCACAGGCGTACTTCTTCGTTGCTTGTAAGAAGTATATTGGGGCTCTTTAAATCGCAGTGCATAACACCTTTATTATGTAAGTACGCCATACCTAGCGCAACTTCTCTAGCAAGCTTAACTACCTTCATTAAAGGTAAAGAGACGCGCTGACGATGCAGCAAATCAAATAAAGAACCTCCAGATACATACTCCGTCACAAGACCATACACCGGAGGCCCCACAACCCCCAGCAGCAACAACACGTTAGGGTGCCGCAGCAAAGACAGTACTGATAACTCAGCATACAAGTTTCTCTCTGCTCCTTGGCTGTCTCTACGTCTAAACGCTTTTACTGCTACCCTCATCTCTCCGCAGCACTGAGGCTTCCTTTCTTCTGAATTTGCTGCTCTTCCTGTCTCCTCATCCCCGCCTCTGCTCCAGTAAGGTGCGCATACACCCCAAGGCATATGCTGTTGCTGCTGCTGCTGCTGGGCGTTCCTTGAGCTGCCCTCCAAACCGTCAAACCCCTCTACGCCCTGCAAAGAAGACATCCAGAGCTGCTGCTGTTGTTGCTGCATCTGCTGCTGCTGCTCGCGGTGCTGCAGGAGCTGCTGCTCTGCATGAAGCTGACTGCTGCTGCAGGCTGCCATGCCTAGGCGGTGTTGTGCGTCTAGACTTCGGGTGTATCTCCAGGTCGCCTTAAAGACTCTACTATACCCTCCCTCTCCTATGGGGCCCTCTATATCTATTTCTGCTGCAGGTATAAGAATGCGCTGCAGCAAATAGTCGCCCGCTCTCCATCTGGATTTGAAGGAGCCCCGAAGGCGGCTACGATGCCTCAGCTTCAGCAGCAGATCCACCAGCAGCAGCAGCAACCGTCTCTCCTCCCAGTTCCCAACACCCATCTCCTTGAGGTCTTTGTCTGTTAATGCTAGCAGCGCGGGGCCATCCACTTGCTGCTCCTTCATTAGCTGCAGCAAGCTGTCTGTACACCCCACACTACGCAGCAAGCACTGCACATGCTCCTCACCCCAATGCCGCACTGCAGCAGCAGCAGAAAACTGTCTCAGAGCTTCCATATGTTCAGTCAATCGCTGCTGCATGCAGATGTCTTTCTCCTCAGTGCCGCTCTCCTCGCTGCTGCTGCTGCTGCTGCTGCTGCTAGTGATACCCACTGCAGCAGCAGCACGCCGCACAGAAGCAGGCCTGCGACGTATCGCTGCAACCCTCCGTCTCTCTTCCCTTTCCCGTTCGAGCTGCTGCTGTTGCTGCAGCAGCAGCAGCTGCTGCTGCTGCAGCTGCTCCCAGGTTTGCTGCTGCATCTGAACCCCATCTCCGTTGCAGTAGCCCTCTTGCTGCTGCAAAGTGTTGATAAGGGTCTCGTGTGTGCGCGGTGTATCGGCATCTCTGGAGTAGTTGAAATGTTTTTTATTTTTCTTCTTGATTTGTTTCTTGCTGCAAGGCAGCAGCTCTCTACTCGAGATAAGCAGCTCTTGTTTAATAACTCTGCCTCTCTCCCACTCCCCAGAGTATATCATCCCTCCACCATAAACAATAATACCTTTCCCATGCTTAACACCTCCTTTAAACTCTCCTATATATCTACATCCTTGACTTAAGCCTTGCACGCCTAACCCGTGCCGGAGGCCCCCCACCCACTGGCCTTCATACTTTAATGTAGAGGGGCCCCTTAGTAATACACCCCAACCTTCTCTTCTATCTAAGCGCCAGAAACCACAATACCCACTAATAGAACGTATAGGGGCCCCCCCTAACCCCAGCCCTGTCTGTAGACCCTCTACACTCCCCTTCCCCCCCAATGGGGGCCCCCACGGGGCCCCCCAACCACCGGGGGCCCCCCAGGGGGCCCCCCCAGGTGTTGGTGGATCTCTTGAGGGCCCCGGAAGCAGCACGCAGGGCCCCTTCAAGGGGCCGCAACCCAAGCGCCTAAGGGCCCCCTTACCCCAGAGGCCCCTGGGGCCCCCACTAACACCGCCTCCATATAAAGCAAAGCCGCATCCGTGTGCAACAGAAGAAGCAAATGTCTCTCCATAGTAAAGGCGATCGTCTTGAGATAGAAGCAGAGACACCTCAAGACGATAACGAGAAGATAGTCGAGGCACTGCAAACCTGCTGCCGCCTCCTGCTGCTCCTGCTGCTGCTGCTGCTGATGATGATGGTGGGGGGGGTGCTCCCTCGTCGGAGGAACTGTCGTCTACCACAGACACTGGAACTGAACCTCCTACTAAATTCATACACCCAACCCTCCCGCTGCTGCTGCTGCTGCTGTTGCTGCTGCTGCTACGGTCGGGGGCCCTATCGTTGGTGCTGTTCTGGGACGCTGCAGTGGGGGCGGGCTCAGCCTGTTCACCCGTCGCTGCTGCACCTCTTTCAGCATTTCTGCTGCTGCTGCTGCTGCTACTGCTACTACTACTACTGCTGCTGCTGCTGCTACTGCTGCTGCTGCTGCTGCTGGGATCGGTATTGAGCTGCAGCAGGCGGCGCACCCAGCGGAAGATGCCGCTAGATTTTTCTTTTGTTTGTTCATGGGCGTTGCTGCTGTTTTGCTGCTTCGTTGCTGCGGCTCGTGCAGCTTCAGCTGCTTCTGCTGCTGCTGCTGCTGCTGCAGCAGCAGCAGCATTAAGGTAGGGGAAAGGCAGGCTGCTGCTGGCCGTCACAGGGGGAATACACCCGTGCTGCTCCAGCTGCTGCAACGCCTGCTGTCGCAGCAAATGAGGGTCTGCTGCAGCAGAGAGGAGTGCCTTTTGCTTCCCCCCAAACAACCCATGCGCATGCGGCCGCGAGACATGGCTTGCTGAGCTGCTCCACCCATAGACGGGTGCAGCAGCAGCAGCTGCTGCTGCCGCTGAAGATGCTGCTGCTCGGGCCCGCTCACTGCGGCCTCTAGACGTGCTGCTGCGGCTCCCTGCTGCTGCCTGAAACCAATCAAAAGAAGAAACCTGCTGCACTAGGCTGGGGTGCTTTTGCTGCTGCTGCTGCTGCTGCTCCTGCTCCTGCTGCTGCTGCGGAGGGTGGTACAGCTGCAGCTGCTGCTGTTGATGCTGCTGCTGCTGTTGCTCTTGCTCTTGCTGCTGCAGTGGAGAACGAGGAATATACGCGGCCACAGCAGGCGCAGCACCGCTCGCCAGATAACGGACTGCACTGAGACTGGGGTTGCTGCTGCTAGTGCTGTCATTCATGCTGCTGCTGCTGCTACTGCTGCTGCTGCTACTGTTGCTACTGCTGCTGCTACTACAACTACGGCTGCTGGTGCCGTCGCCGGTAGCAGCAGCACCTGAGCTGGGGCATAAGGAAGGCCCCGAACTGTTTGCTGCTGTTGCAGGGCTTGCTGCTTCAGCTGCCTGCTCATCTGCTGCTGCTGCCCCCTGTGAATTATCATCGTCAGCCGCAGCAGCAGCAGCAGCAGCAGCTGGTATGTCTATGCACGTGTCCTCTGCTGCTGTTGGTTGCGGCTCTAGGGCACCCTCAGGCTCTTCACGTTGGTGCTGTTGCTGCTGGTGCTGCTGCTGCAGCTCGTGCTGCTGCTCGTGCTGTTGTTGCTGCCACAGACCGCTGGAATGGGCCTGTTGTGTCTGCTGCTGCTGCTGCTGCTGCTGCTGCGGTTGCTGCAGCAGCAGCTGCTGCTGCTGGTACTTGGGGTCCTCTCGCCGTTGCGTCAATGTATCACCTGATAGCCCTCCAGGTACACTGTCTTCCCGTTGTTGTTGCTGCTGCTGCTGCTGCAGCTGATGCTGCGGCCTGTGTTGCTGTTTGCTCCGCTGCCAGCCTCTTCTGCGTTGATATCCGCGGTTACTGCAGTCTGTTGTTTGCTGTCGGCCCCTCTGTTCTATTAAATGCTGCTGTTGCTGCTGTTGTTGTTGCTGCTTTTGCTGCTGCTTCTGCTGCTGCTGTTGCTGTGGGATTAGCGCTCCCTGCCCGTTGTTTATTGTTTCTTTTTCTTGTCTTTGTGTGCGGCCCCAGGACTCTCCTTCAGCTGCACATGCTCCCTTAGTCTCCTCACGAGTGGCAGCATTATCTGTTGCTGCACCTACTGCTGCTGCAGAAGCAGCAGCAGCAGCAGCTGCTGCTGATGCTGCTGCTGATGCTGGGGGTGTTTTGGTAGGTGTGTTGTTGCTGCTGCAGTGAGGCAATCCTGGGGCTGCTGCTGCAGCGGGGTCTGGTGTCTGTACACCGCACACTGGCCTCTGCTCTGAGCCCGACGGAGCCGCGGCCACTGCAGGCCATTTCCCCATGTTAAGAAGGGGGCCCCCCTGGTGCATGCAGCAGAGCAGAGGGCAGCAGCAGCAGCAGCAGCAGCAGCAGCAGGTGCTGAACCCCTGGCTCTAGCATTGCCTGTCCCTGCGAAGACCACCAAATCCCTCTCGTGTTTTGCTTCTAACTGCAGCAGCAACGAAAATAAGTAAATAAATAAATAAATAAATAAAATTCAAGAAAAATAGAAGAAAAAAAGAGAGAGAGTGCTGCTGGGGGTGCGGGGGTTTCTTATAAACTAAACTCCATAAGAGAAGAGAAAGAAGCGGATGATTATCTGCAAATATATATATTTATATTTATTTATATTTATATATATAATCGTCAGACAAACCCCAACAATGCACAGAAGAAGCAGTAAAGGTTTCTAGACACCTCAACTGAATGCAAACCAAAGAAAAAATGCATAGAATTTCTTTGCCTTTCATCGCTGGCTGAGGGGTCTCCTGCCCCTTCTACCCTCTAAATAAACTTCTTTTTATACCCTAAACACTCACTCAATAAAAAAAGAAGAAGAAAATATCTCTAAAGCTGCATTAAGAAAAAAACATTGGGGGGCCCCACGGCCGAAGGCTTCGCATAACGAAGGCATAGGAGGCCCTTCGCTCTCTTTCTTTCTAATAAAGTCTGCAATAGTGCCCCAATATATCAAATTAAATTAATTATATTGTTAAAATTAGCATTATATGGAGGCTTTACTTCTATATTTTTTCATATATTATGCTGCACTGTACAGACACCTTCAACGCTGCCTTCCTCGGGGCCCAGCGGCAGCAGCACCCCCCATCGCTCTTTGCAGCAAAATCTTGAATTAAAAATGTGCAGTTTAATTTAAATTCTATTTTAAAATAATATTTATTTTAATTTAAACTAAAGTCTAACAATATATCTTCAGCTTCCTCCCACATCCACTGGGTATTAAACATATTAGAGCAAGCGCACGAGGTGTTGTGCTGCAGGTTAGGTAAATAAAGAGGTAAAAAGAAGGAAGAAAACAAACAGAGAAAGACTCAAAAAAGTTTTAAAAGGATTAAATAGAGAAAAAAGAAGAAGAAACCATTTAGACAGTCCACACTAAGCAGAGAAGAAGCAAAAGGCTATTCAAAAAAAAATTTTTTAAATTAAAAAGCTCTTTTTATTCAACAGAGAAATAAACAGAAAAGGAGGTAAGACGAAAACATAAACAAACAATAAACAACAAGCAACGAGTAAGCAATAGAAAGCGACAAATAACAAACAATACACAGCAGAAAGACAACAGCAAATTACAAACAAACTATAAACAAACAAAAAGAAACAAATTGAAGACAGCAAAAAACAAACAACAGAAAGAAACACATCCACATACAGCTAAACATTTAGTTTAATTAAGCTGCAAAATGCTGGGCTGCAGCATTGTTTGCATTTGTCTAATCCAGACTAGCAAAAGAAGCTATTAAAAAAGAGTTTATATCTCTACGTAAATGCTACTGCTGCTCTTCCTTTGGTCTAGGAGGAGAAGGTAGCAGCATATACACCTAAAACAAACAAAGAAAAGGCAAACAAAAAAACAATAGCAGCAAAACCTAAGAAAGGAGGCTGCATTGATAACTACAGAAAGCCTCTCTTTCTGCACTTTGTTATTTGTTGGTGCTTGCTTTTTTTTTGTATTTGTTTGTTTCTTCTTGTTTGTTATTTGCAGTCAGTGAACATCTAAAGGAGCCCTTTAGGATCTTGAGCCTCTTTTTGTTTCTCCTTACATTCACTGCCGCCTCCCCCAAATAAAAAGAAATAAAAAGAGATAATAAAAATAGATAAAGACAAACTTTTCAATTACTCTCAGCACAAGCATACACTCTCGCCGGGGTATAATAAAAGTCTTAGTCGCTTTGAAGGAGTATTTGCTGCATTTATTTTTGTTTTATTTACAGTAATGAACAAAAGGAAAACAATTTATTGCAATCTATTTGTATATAAACTGCAGTTTAGATAAAAGATGTACATAATATATATATATATATATATATATATATACCACGCATACACCATACTACTGCACTTGTAAGCGGCTATCGCGCCTTAAAAAGTTGAAAAATAAAACAAATTATTTTAATATTTGAATATATTTATTTATATTTAAATATTACAAGACGAATAAGGGAAATAAGTCCTTCTTGAATCTTTCTTAAAGTGATAAGAGGCATTACTTTATTATCATTATACATTCTGCATGTATTATATTTTATATGTATAATATATATTATATGTTAATATATATATATGTGTTTTGGTCTTAATATGTCTATTTGATAATGATGATGATATGCAGAAGTAAGTAAAACTGCAAACAACGACAGCACCGTCATTGAATGAGCAAATCTAAGAAGAGAGTTCTGCCCATCACTTACTAAGTTTTGTTTTTTTGTTTTTCTTTGTTATGCTGGTTTTTGTCGTATCATAAAGATGCATTTTTCGCCCTATAATATATATATATATATGTATATATATATATATATATATATATATTCATATATGTATTATGGATATATTTTTTCTACTTTTATTATACATATTTGCGCATGCAGTTTATATAGGCAATGTATATGGTGTGTTTATAATGTTGCAAATTCATAAAAAGACTGCGACAAACATCAACGAGAAAGCTGAGTCTACACCTGAGAGGAAAAAGGCTGTTAACAGCCTTTAAGCTTGGGTTTCTGATGTGCAAAGATTAAAAATATTAAAATATAAGTCTTCAGCTGTTGATTTAATTTAAACTTACAGAACAAACACACAAATAAACCAAAGAAAATAAAGCGAAACCATCACACACGCGCACGCTGTGAAGAAGCCTACGCTGTGTGCTTACACAGTAGCTAGCTATAGCTAGCAGTGGCTAGTTGCAGCTAGCCACTGTAAGCCTTCCTACTGTTAGCCAGGCTGACTGTCTCTACTATCCTTTGTGCAGAACTGCGGTGTCTAGGGCTGAGCCACATTTGTATTTAGACGCGTGTATGTAAAACTAAACAATTTATAAACATTTGCGTATATGAATGCATATCTACAGGTACTGTATATATATATATATATGCATATGTATATATATCACAGTTACATATGTATATTCAAACCCACAAATATATTATATATGCAGGAGAAATATCCAACACGTACATGCATTTGAATACACCAATCAATAATACTTCTATACTATTTGTATGCACACATATGTATGCATGCATATGCTTATATATATGTATATATACATACTTTTTCTCGCTGTGTCTCTTTCGACTTTAACAAAAACCTGCTGTGGCAAAGTGCTGCCAAGCAGTACATAAAAGATAAACAGAAGAAATGAATTATGTGTCTGTTATTACAGTGTATGTGCAGCAGAAGGCTCTGTTATTACGTATACGTATACTGCTGCTGTACTTTCTTATGTTTGTTCGTTTTGCTTAGGAGGCAGTAAAAGATTTAAGAGGAAAAGACCTCAAGATAATGCAATTCTGTAGAGCAGCTTTAAATGCTTTTCCCCCCCTTCCAGGTGTCCTAGCGGCCACAGCAGCACAAATACAAATAATAGTAAGGAGAAAAAACAGAGAAAGAGGATTCCTTTTGTTAATAGGGAAGCTGCTCTTGCTGCAGCTGCTGCTGCAAGGCAGCAATACAACACCCCCAGGTCTCAGTGTGTAAGGGCAAGAAAACCTGCATCAGATGAATACACGAGCGATGCAGACATTATATACATACAATATATAGTAATATATTATACTATGGCCCCCCGTAGTGAAGCCGTCAGTCAGTAGAAATGCATAAAGCCAACACTCAGACAGAGCAAGCTCCACCCAACCCGTAACAAAAAGCTAAAAAATAACTGCCTCTCTCTCCCCCCGTTGTGCGATCCCGAGCTCCTGTGCATGGGGAGCGTTAAAAAAAAGAAATAAAGCTTCTTTCTTTCCTGTTTACAGCATTATTAAGATTTCATTATTTTGTATGGCTCTCGGCCTCCCCATGCGTACAGGGGAAGCGGAGTGTAAATACGCACCATAAGCGGGCCCCATAGAAAAGCCACACATTGAACTTTAATAAAAACATTATGGAAGCAAATTTAATTCAACAGATTCTGCTTATGACACCAAACTTTTGTGCATTTTTCATGTTTTACTGACCGGCGTGGCTTCAGCCTGTTTCATTCTTTATTGAACGATGGATGAGTTGCAGCGAAACGCACCCGGGGGAAAGCTGAATAATAGCTGAAGAAATAAGAGAAAAGGTAATTTAATTCAATCATCTAAATTGTTTTCTTCCATTTAAGACATTTGTTGAGCTTAGGAGAGGCGCGCGACAGATCCTGTGGTTTAGATTTCTGCGGGATCGCTGCATGCAGGTGCTGCATTTCTTTGCAACTTCATGGAGCCTTGCGAGGAAAGCTCTATTTTTTGGGGTTTATTTGGCCAAATATTCACAAATTTCAGCTCAATTAAGAAGATTCCGCTACTTTTATGACGGGGCGAGGCCTGCAGCATCAGCGGCTCGCCCAGAGCTGCTGATGCAGTTTATGTGGAGGTGTTGCGGCTCGTTGAGGTTCTCTTTGCATCTCTTGCTTGGGTAAAGCGTCTTTAAATACTTTTACTCGACAAGAAGACTCTTTTTAGAGGAGAAACGTTCATGAGAACATCACCAAAAGGTGCGGACGAATCGCCTGCCTCTTCGTAGGCACCCATATAATACCGCAGCTCAGCGCGACTCGCTGCAACTCGCAGCACTTTTACGTTCTTAACGGCCTCTTTTTGGTTCAAACTGAACCCCTCTGCATCCCAAATACCCCTTTCTATTGCTGGGACCGCTGCACTTCTCTCCTGTGTTGCAGCAGCACCAGAGCCGTCTAGCACCATCTCCCTCAGCTCTCCTCTTCTCCTTCACCAGCCTACAAGACGCTGTACGTACACCTGCGCACACTGAGCTCTACGCCTGCTGCAGCAGACCCTTCACCGGGCAGCCTCAAACTGCATAATCCTCAGCCGCAAGACGCAGCAGGGCAACAGATCCTCTGTGCAGCAGCCTCCAGTTGCTGCAGCAGCAAGACGCAGCAGCGCAACAGATTCTCTGTGAATCAGTCTCCAGCTGTAGCAGCAGCAGCACGTGCATATCAGCATCTTTCTCCTCGCTGCACATCTTTTCAGGCTAGTGTTCTGGGAGCAGCACAGGCAGACTTGCTGGGGTATGGGGGCCCCCCTGCTGCTGCCCCTCAGTGCCTAGGGGCCCTACAAGCACATTTTAACGTTTTTTACGCTCCATAGGGGGCCCCTGTTCGTCTGCAGCAGGTGGAGGGGCCCCGAGGGCCCTCGAGGTGCACGCAGTTGAGGGGGGGGGGAGGGGGGGGGCCACCAA